CCAGGAATTTCTTTATGTTCTGGAGATAAACTGTGTAGAACTTGGCTTAAAGGTTGCTCAGACTTTTCTACTTCCATTAATTCATCTTGGCTTGAATTAAGTAATGAACTATTTTGGTCTCTTGTGCCTGGAGGTGACTCAGCTCCACTTCTTTCCTTTAATAGTACTCTAGGTGTATCTTTCAGTCCTGTAGAGGATTCAGGCCTATCCTGTATAGGTAAAGATGATATTACAGCAACATCCTCTTCAATTAACCCTAGTTTCTCTTTTAATTCAGAAGGCTCCAATCTGCTCTGTACCAAAAGAGATTTAGACTCTATTGTAGGATATATGTTAGAATCAGGTTTAGTCTTACTCTGCTCAGGAGACAATCCTGATTTCAGCTTTGGATCTATTGATAATTCACTTTTATCTTGTTTTACTGGTGATCTGAGGACCAGCTCAGTGACTGGCGATGAAGATCTGGAAGGGCCACCCTTAGGAGAGGTTTGATATTTGCTCTGCAGTGATGGAGATTCCAAGTGAGTTTGCCTCACTTCTGGACTTGAAGTATCAGACCTAGGTTCTGGCCAAGTTTGAGACTGTCCTTTCTGCTGCACAAATGAAGAGCCAAAACAGCTCTCTCCTGGTAATGTACTAAGTGTTACAGCTGGACAGAGGGAAAAGGATCCAGAGCTTTCTGTTGGTGAATCCTTAGACTTCTCCTGGGGACAGGGTGACTTTGATACCAAGAGATTTTGCTCCGGTGGAGTCTGGAGCATGCCTTTTGGGTATGGTGATGTAGACCCAGTGTGTCTTGTTGGCGTTCCCAGTTCCACTTTAGTATCTGGTGAGGAGGATCTAGAACGGCTATGTCTTGGCAACAATCCAGAATCCATCTTAGAGCAAGGAGATACTGATCTGCTTTGCCTCTGAGGTGTTCCAGATGTCACTCTAGAAGGACTTGGAGAAGAGGAGCCAGAATGGCTTCGTCTTGGTGATACTACCACCTTCATTTGGGGTTGTGGAGATAATGACCTACATGGGCTCTGTCTTGGAGGTGTGCTAGATTTCAGTTGAGGAGAAGACCCAGAGCAGCTTTGTCTTGAAGGGGTTCTTGATTTCACCTCACCATCAGGGGATGATTCCGAACGGCTCTGTCTTTGTGGTGTTGCAGAGTGTTCATCAACCTGTATGTTTGTTACAGACCCTGATCTTGGTGGTGTTCCAGATTTTACTTTGGGCTGAGGAGATGAACTTGAATGACTCAGTCTTGGTGATGTTTTTGACTTCTGCTTAGGTGGCGAAGAACCAGAACGGCTTCTCCTTGGTGGTGTCTGCGATTTTTGTTTAGGACATGGAGAGGAACCTGAAAGGCTTCGCCTCAAAGATTTTGCTTTGGATCTTGGTGAAGAAAGAGACCTGCTCCGTCTTGAGGAAACATGAGATTTTTTCATTTCTAGGCTTGAGTTGGATCTGCTCCTCCTCTGAGATATTCTAGATTTGTTCTTCCTCTCTGATGATGAGCCCGATCGTCCTCTTCTTTGTGGTGTTCTAGAATGAGATCTTCCACGTCTAACCAGACTTCTGCTTCGAGATCGTCGCCGTGCTGGTGTTCTAGAGCGTGACCTCCCTCTCCTGGCTGGTGTTCTAGAGCGTGACCGGCCACTTCTCCTGGCTGGTGTTCTAGAGCGTGACCTCCCTCTCCTGGCTGGTGTTCTAGAGCGTGACCTGCCACTTCTCCTGGCTGGTGTTCTAGAGTGTGACCTGCCACTTCTCCTAGCTGGGGATCTACTTCGGGACCTCCTTCGAACTGGTGATCGGGTCCTAGATCTACGCCTGGCAGGTGTTCTAGACCGAGATCTGCCCCTTCGAGCTGGTGTTCTAGACCGAGACCTACGCCTGGCAGGTGTTCTGGACCGAGACCTACGCCTGGCAGGTGTTCTAGAACGAGATCTGCCCCTTCTAACTGGTGTCCTAGAACGGGATCTGCCCCTAGTGGCTGAAGATCTAGAGTGTGACCTGCCTCGCCTCACTGACCTAGACCTGCCTCTTCTCTGAGTATTTCTACTCCTGGACCAGCCTGGCCTCTGCGGAGATCTAGACCGGCCACGCCTCTGGGGGCTTCTAGATTTCCCCCACCTCTGTGCAGACCGTGACCTACGCCACTGAGGGGAATGGGATCTAGAATGACCTCTCTTGGTGGGGGTTCTAGATCGAGATCGTCCCCTCTTAGTGGCAGGACTACGGGATCTACCTGCTCTATGAGATGGGGTATGAGAATGAGATTTATCCCGCTTTGCTCTGCCATGTGAACGATTCTTAGATGTGGGTGAAGAAGATATCTCTCGGCGGGCCCCAGGAGTTGGTGTGGGCTTAAGACTTTCAGGAGAGGAGCTGGCATGCCGAGAAACTTTGGTAGGCTGAGGGGATGGTGGACAGCTCTCTGAGGAAGATGAGTGGGGAGGTTTCTCAGGAGACTTAGGTGGTGAACAACCCCGGGTTGGGGAGGCCTCAGATGAGGGGTTAACTGGCTCCTGACTGGATGGGATTGCTGCAAGGGGTCGTGGGGAGTCATCATGTTGCTCAACAAGGAGCGGAGCGGGGGCAGGTAGTTCTGGCCCTGTGCTGCTCCTTTCCGGAGAGGGACTAGGTCGAACTGCAGATTTCTAAGAGTGAAAGAGAAAGTAAGGATCGTGATAAACACCAAAGCTTCATTATTATCCATTAGATTCCAAAAAGTTTCTAACAAAACTTTCCTCTATAGATCTTTTAGACCAACTGACCCTTTCCATACCCAAACTCACACTCAATTACTGAAGAGACAGCAAGATAGCCTCCTGAGCTACAAACCATGGGACCCATGTGAAAGAAAAAAAACCTATTCCTCTTGAGTTGTTCCCTGACCTGTACATATGCACACACATGCACATATACAAAATAAATATATTTTTAAAATTAAGAAAATAAAGGAAAAAATTTGACTATATGGACAATCTCTGACCTCAAGTCAGAGAAAAGAGAAATTGAAAAGAATGCACTATCATTACCAACAAATACATCAGTGTCCGGAAAACAGGAAGTCTTTTTCTTTTCAAGAGAAGAAGTCTGGCATAGAGTGTGGGAGATACATATGTACACTACCTTCCCCCCCCCCAAAAAAAGGTATGATTCAACGGAAAAAGAATACAGTTTGTGTTGACAATAACTTTACCCTCAAACATGAACTAAATTAAAGTTAAAACAGCATAAAGAGGACAAAGCTTTGAGGGTATGATTTGTCTTGGCATGATGAAACATGCCTTTAATCCATGCAATCAAGAGGCAGAGGCTCTGTGAGTTTGAGGCCAGCCTGAACTATGTAGTGAGCTGTAGGAGGATAGTCAGAATTAAATAAGTAAATAAATAAATGGTTGACCAAGTTAAGTGAGATGATAGTTATCACATAAGCCTGGTAACCAGAGCTCAATCCCCAGAACCCCTATATAGGTAGAGACAGACAACAGATTCCATAAGCTGTCCTCTGACTTTCAAACATACATGTGAACTCACACCTGCCTTCCTCTAATCACAGCACACACAATTAATTAATTCACTAACATCTCACCAGAATAGTCCATAAGGAGGAGGCCAAATCATAAACACTTTAAATATAACTTTAAACCAAAAGAAACAACCATGGCACTACAGTAGAGGGTATAAAATTGTAACTACCAAAATGACCACTCTTTAATGTTTTCAGGTTGGAAGCATCAAGTCAAAGGGTTCAATTTACTGAGTGATTACAAGAATACATGAAGGAAACAGAGACACTGTAAATTAAATAAAATCAAAACAATTTCTTAACCTGATACACTGTATTGATATAAATCTCTCATATAAAATTTACTAATTCATTGATGTTTCATTGTGAAGACTTCACAATTTAGTGGGTCACAACTTAAAATACTTGGAGGTATGTAAAAGGACTTAGTAAACTGAAAGAATAGGGAAATAGAAATTCAAATATTTCTCAGCAGTTGCATATAAAATGTCCATCATGCAGCATTGATAAGCCTGCCCACCTTTCTGAGTTTTAACTCAGAGAACTCTTTTCTTTCTCTCATTCTGTTATCTCATTTGAATACTGTCCAAAAAAATTACTCATATTGTTGTTACACTATTCCAATCTTTGTTTCTATAAAACAAACCCCCAACACACAGTCTTCTATAGCTCATTACCAACCTTCATACATAAACCTTACAATAACTTAAAAGGGCAAGATTTTCTCTTAATAAGATACGTTATACTACATACCATTCTTGTCCTTTTAAAGCAGATCCCTGAGTAAAAACCCTATAACCCAATGAACCAACTCAAAACATACCTCCTTCTTATCTTTGTCTTCATACAGACTGCTTGACTGCTTTGTGGAAGGGTCAGGGCTACTAGGCTGCTGTATGTTGGTGGCACCTGGTTCACTAGAAGGTACATCTCCCTCCCCTTGATGCCCTGAAGCAAGGGGAGGACTTTGCCCAGTCAAGGCCGTTGTATGAATTTTAGCAGCAGCACTTCGAGACCTGTGAGTTGACGGAGGGCAGGGGAGAGCAGGGAAATCAGCTCAAGGGAGAAAAAAAAACCCCCTCCACCCCCAACTTGCAATCCACTTTCCTGTATGTACAACCCTCTCTGGAGGAAAAAAAAAAAAAAAAAAAACTTGGTCACACGACTCAAATCATTTTCAAAAATGAAAATGTAGCTCTTGTTTTGTTCCAGCTCTTCCCAATATCCCAATATAATCCCAAATAATATATACCCCTCTACCCCTTTATTCACCACCCTCCAACATACCCGAACCTTCCACCCAGGCCCTTCCCTACCCACTTCATTCACAACTCACCTCTGAGCCCACCTCCTTCTGGAAGCCTTCCCCGATTAAGGAAGCCAGGGTAAGGACTCCTTCCTCCCCCAGACACCAAACCAGCAAACCACCCCCCGCCCTATTCTGGTAGTCCATATACATCATAACAAACAAAAACAAAAAAAGACAAGGGGAAATGTATATATGTCTGTCCATCCTGTTGCTTTAGCCTGTCAGCTCCTAGAGGGCAGGGACCGTGTCTTCGGAATGGTCTGTGCAGCGCCTAGCACACCGTGGGCGCTCAATAAATATTAAATTGATTAACCCATCATTCCCTCTCCCTCCATTTCTCCTGGACTACCCCTTACCGACTACGAGAAGTATCAGAGGAAGAAGCAGAGTCAGCAGAAGTTGATCGATGGGCTCGGCGGCTCTTAGGAGCTGGTGTTGTACTTCGAGACCTGAAGAAAAGACCACCACAAGACTCAGGAGACTGTCATACCTACTCTGAATTCTCCAAACCAATCTCTTAACTCATTACATTTGACTGTATGTGTATGCAGAAGGAAGTCAGAAGACAATTTATATGTTGGTCCCACAGATAAATTCTGGTATTTACAGGTTTGGAAGAAAGGCCCTTTTACTTGTTGCCATAGTACCCACTCAGTTTTAGTTTTTGAGTTTCCCCCTTACACACACCCATCTCAATCCCAACTGCCAGTCGATGACAGAACTGATTTCAATCCCTCTTCCCTCGTGGGGCATTTATTTATTTCTTCCAAATACACTTACCGCTTCCTCTTCTTGTCCTTTGATTTACGTTTGCTCTTTGGAGTAGGAGACCTGGAAAATAAGGAAATGCTGTCTAAAAGGAATTTTTAAAATTATAAAATCTGAAGGAAAATGAAAACATAACTGGCCAAGTTTTATTGGTAACAGGTAGTTAAAGGATTGAGCTATACCTTAAAAAAAAAAAAAAAAACAACAAAAAACAAAAAATAAAAAGACAACCACTACAGGCCATTTCTTACCTGTGTTTCCGTTTCTTGGATTCAGATTCTGACCTATTGGTGGGGAAAAAGAGATCATTAAACCACACTTAACTCTTCAATTCAAGAGCTGCCTTCATTCACTACAAAGAACTTCCTTCCACCTTGGGTCATGAGAGATAGTTTAGTTGTTAAAGAACACTGGCTACTCTTCCAGAGGTCCTGAATTCTATTCCCAGCAACCACATGGTGGCTCACAATGATCTACAACAGTAGGATCTAATGACCTCTTCTAACAGAAAGTTGTACATGCAGATAGAGCACTTACACAATAAAATTAAATCTTTAAAAAAAAAACAACAAAGATCTTCCTCCTTAGACAGGAGTGGTGTGATGGTACATGCCTTTAATCTTCAGCAGAGGTAGGCAGATCTCTCTGAGATGGAAGCCAACCTGGTGTACATAGTAGCTTCCAGAACAACCAAGACCCTCTTTAAAAAAAAAAAAAAAGAAAGAAAGAAAGAAAAAAACTTTCCACTTCATACCTATGTTTCTTCTTCTTTGAGCTCTTCTTCCTCTCTCGTCGAGGAGAACTGCTCTCTGACCTGCTAAAATGAGTTCAGAAACAAGTCATTTTATTTGGTTTTCTTTCTGGCCCTCTAACCTGTAATTCTCAAAAAAAAAACTGCCTCAAAATCCCAAAACAAACCCAATGGCACCTTATTAACTTCTACATTCAATCAATAAACATAAAACTGAAATGATGCTAGCCAGCTAGCCTTTGGGGTGGGCTACAGATTTAACCATTTCCCACTAAGCACACACATTTCTCTGCTGAAACCTGAAGAAGAATTCTGTCCCCTTCAACTGTTTTACAATTTGGATTCTCTACTACCTAAAAACAAATTCAACTTCTAGAAATCCAACAGGAAAGGTTCCTCTGGATACTAGAGTACCTGAAGAAGAATTCTGTCCCCTTCAACTGTTTTACAATTTGGATTCTCTACTACCTAAAAACAAATTCAACTTCTAGAAATCCAACAACAGGAAAGGTTCCTCTGGATACTAGAGTAACTTTCCAACTGACTTACCGTCCTCTATCTTTCTTCTTTTTCTTTTTCTTTTGCTTTGGAGTTGGTGATCGAGAACTGCTCGTCTCTCGAACAAGGCTGGAAAAGGCAAAAAGACTCTAGGTGGCAGGACAAATTTCCTTAAAGCTTCACCCTAATGAATATGCTTGTAACAGTTCTCTGATAACTGCTTCACCTTAGGACACCAGCTACATACCAATTTGTGTGTGTGTGTGTGTGTGTGTGAAAGCTTCAGAATTAAAAGATGTAAATTTGTTGGGTGGTGATGGCATACTAGGGAGGAAGGAGCAGGCAGATCTCTTTGAGTTCGAGGCCAGCCTGGTGTACAAATGAGTTTCAGGATAGCCAGGGCTAGAGAAACCCTATCTTGAAAACAAGACAAAAAGATAAAAATTTAAAAGTGATTGTATTATCTAGGGTCCTATGGTTTTGTGTGTGTGTGTATGTGTGTGTGTGTGTGTGTACGCGTGCGTGTGTGAAAGAGGGGGGGGGGAGAAAAAGAGAGAATCTCAAGGGGAGGAAGACGGAGAGAGGGAAGGCAGCCCTCCCTGACTACCCTGGAACTACCTATGTAGAGCAAATTAGCCTCAACTCACAGAGATCCTCTGCAGTACCTCTGAAGAGTTGAGATTAAAGGTGTATGTCACATCTGGTTTCATTAAATTATTTTGAGACAGGGTCTTACTATGTGGCTACCCCAGGCTGGCCTCAAAATCAGAGATCTGCCCACATCTGCCTGGAGTAGTGGGATAAAAGGTATGCACCACCACATATACCTTAACTATTAAAAAATAAAAATAGGGACTAGAGCTATAAGTCAGCAGTTAAGAACTCTCCAAGGGACCTTGGCTTCCTTTCTGAGCACAAAGGCAAACTCTCAACAATCTAACTCTAATGCCTCTTCTGACCTCCAGAGTGAGTACCAGGACAGCCAGAGCCACATAGTGTGATGAGACCCTGTCTCAGACCAAAAAAAAAAAAAAAGTTTAGAAATAGTCTATTAGTAATAACAATACAAAAAAGTACTTTTAACAAGGAAGCAGATTCAGGCTTTTCCCTTGAGTACCTGTATGGTTTGGGAGGCTCAGGAACTGCTTGCTTAGCTTCTCGAGCACGTCTCTGAGGATCAAAAGAACTGCCATCCACATAGGAATCACTGATGCCAAAGGCAGCACGAAGTCGCTCATTCTTCTTCTCATTCAGTTCTGCCAACTGATGGGTCTCAGTAACCCTGGAGGGGAAAAAAGGTAACAAGTAAGAGTCCTACCTAATTTAGAACTTAATTATAAAGATGAGTCAAAAAAAAAAAAAATGCAAAACCCAGTCCCAGGGTTTTTAAAAAGGACAGCAATATCTATTAACAGCACAGACTCCAAAGAACAAAATGAAAAACTTACATTGGCCTCTGCCCTGGGGTTTCTTCCTTGCCCCCAGGGTTCACATCCTTCTCCAGCAACATGAGTCGAAAGGTAGCCACTTTCTCCTGAATCTGTTGTTCTTCGTACCTGAAGGATAAATCCCTTCATGGTCAGAGCTTGACAGGGGTTTTCCCAAGTCCCAATTTATAATTGCTTTCTTTTCCAACAGGGTTCTTTCACCTTCTCCATTCACACAGTACTTGTCACTCAAAATTCCCTTAAGTTTTCTTTACCTTTCCTTGACCCTCCTTTCTTTCCTACACTATTCTCTCTAGAACAGTGGATTTTAAACATGCTACAATTCAGGGGCCAAGAGAGGACAGTTTGCTTGCTGGCAGAGTTCCCAGTGCTCCTTTCCCAACTTCAACACGAATAGATCTTTTATTTCCTGGGACTTCAAAGAAAGCATAATGTATAAAAGGATACCATTGCTCAAGTTTGGAAACCACTGCTCTAAATGGGTTTCTACCTGAATGTGCTCCTTTTCCAAAATTTCACTTCTCTGCCAAGCTCATGATATCCTCTATTCAAATACTCTTTCAATTCCGATCTTCTGCCTTTCCACCTTCCACAGCCAAAATCCCTTAAATCCACCTACCTTTCTCTTCCTTCCAATAACAACACCTGTCAGGTTACCTAAACTCTTCTGCCTAATGCTACTTTCCTATACAGCACATTTTTGTTCCTTGATGGCCCCCTTCCCCTTCACAAATTCCCCTTAGCTGTCACTGGTCCAAACAGTTTCCTTGACATCCCACTATGTAGTGACCCATGACTTCTCAATTCTTCAAGCTCATTCTTTCTCACTTACAACTCCTTTGTAGTACTCTTTCAACCTGATCTAGTTTCTTTCCACACATCCCAACTAACACCCAACTAAGCACTCACTCGGTGCTTGACTTTCTCCCCACCCATTCCCTCACCCCTGCTCTTCCATCATCTCCTCCAGCTCGAGGCATCGCAGCTCCACGCGCCGCTTGCGCTCGTGGTCCAGGATGTCAGGATTAGGCCGCTTCACCAGGGCAGCCTCCAGGCGCCGCAGTTCCTCCTCTCCCTTGTAGTCAGGCCGCTCACCACGGCGGCCCCGCACCAGGGACAGGTTGCGCTGGACGTAGCCGTTGGTGCCGCTGCCCCGGGGCGTCGGCAGCCCGATCCCGTTGTACATGGCCCTGTGCCCAGGGGGGCACCACCGCTCCTGAGGGGGAGCGGGGAGACACCAGTCAGGCTCCTGGCCCCAATCTAACTACTTACCACATCTCCCACATCCCTGGCTCTCTCAGCCTTTAGTTCAATACTTAGTCTCACACTGAATCTCCATTAGCAAAATGTTTCCTCATTCCACTAGTCTGCAAACAAAACCCTCCCTTTATCCTCCCCACACTTCATCCTCTCCACTAAATCACCATCTACTTTTAAACCTTTTCTCATAATGTACTTTCACCAAATTCTAAGCTATTATTCTTTGTACTTTTTTCCTTTCTACACCCTAAGCAACCAAGAATCCAGCCAGTTTGTCTCAAATCTCTCCACACTATCCCTGTATTCTTCTTTGGCCACACAATACACACACAATACACATAAATGGTATCTTCATCAAAAACTGAATGTAAACTACTGGTAACCAAGTCCTCAAAATGGCACAACAAACACCATAGATCAATCAGAAGCACCTAAAGCCTACAATCCATTTTCAAAGACTCCTCTAAGAGAATATTTAGCCTAACATAAACAAACAAGAAGTGGATTAAACAGTCTTGGGTATCTAACTAGGTAAACTGGCTAGTTAACATAAACCAATTGTCCTATGCAGTCTCACACCCAAACTGAAAAGCAAGATCAGAAAACACAGAGGAACCGTGGATACATGAGCTTATACTTCACGTGGGGAAGGTGAGCCATCTCTTTGATTCCAAATAATCAAAGCTCCTACCAACTACAGTGATTATTTTAGTTTCCTTCCCAGTAAGGTTTACCACCACATAGCTTGCAGCTCCTCCAAGTCTGGCTAGCTCTTGTTATATAAATATTGCCTATTTTTTTTTAACTAGATAGTCTAAACATCAAACTATTTTTCTCTGTTCCCATACTTTCTCTACAAGTATTTAGAAACCTTCAAATTCCTTATCTTTATTTTAAAACTGTTGAATTTCCATTGACTTTCCCTGTCAATCTGTGTTCTGGCACTTCATTTTTGTTCTCCTAGTCCTGCTTTATTCTTCAATTTAACTCTATTTTTTTTTCATCTTGTTCCAACCTCAGCCTAAGAACCCCTTAACTCCAGTTTTTTTTAACTGCATATTGCATTACTCATTCTATATTCCCTTCTTGCTATATATGCTTTTTTATTTCCTCCAACACATTTTCTCCAAGACAGATTCTCAGAACATTAAAAAGCACACAACAGGGAAAAGTGAAGGTTAGTAAAAGCAGATGGAAAAGATGGAGTTGGGTAAAAGGTTACATTCACGGAATTCCAGAACCAGTATTATCAATTTCTGAAAAAAAAAAAAAAATAACACTTTTGTCCCTTCCCACCCTCAATCAAGCCTAGCCTAAGGCCTACTCAATAACAACTTTTAGAAAACTAAAAGCAAGGGCTGGGCAGTGGTGGTGCACGGCTTTAGTCCAAGGGCCTGGGAGGCAGAGGCAGGCAGATCTACAAGAGCTAGTTCCAGGACAGGTTCCAAAGCTATAGAGAAACCCTGTCTTGAAAAACCAAAAAAGAAAGACTAAAAGCAAGTCTAGCCGAGTCAAGAATGAGAGATAAGGCTAAATCTATAAAAAAGCAAGTATAAACTCAGGAAGGCACAAAAAAACTCTTTTAGAGCCAAGAAATCTGTTTCTGTAGTTTCTTCCAACAATCTCTCTTAAAGGTCTAAAAATACCAATACTTCCTCTAAATCTAAGGCCTATATTGCTTCATTTGTGTTTTTTGTGAAAGGCTTTTTTTCTTTAAAGATTTCAATTATATATACAGTGTTCTGCCTGAATACCAGAAGAGGGCATCAGATCTCATACATGGTTGTGAGCCACCATGTAGTTGCTGAAGATTGAACTCAGGACCTGTGGAAGAGCAGCTCTTAATCACTGAGCCATTTCTTCTGCCCACGCACAAGGCTTCTCACAATCTTCTAACCTAACCATTCACCCACACTTCCACCATTTCACACAAAAATCCCACCACTCTCTACCCGAAGAAAGCTAAGTTAAAGGTACTAAAAATGATTTTGGAGACCTTTCAGGGAAGATCTTTAAAACAAAACAAAACAAACAAAAAAAACAACACCCAAAGTAGTGCTCAAGACACTAAAAGGGAAACCACAACTACCAAAACCAGGCATCGCTTTTAAAACAGGAGCACAAAGTATGCAAGCTTTCCAAAGTTAAGAACAGAAAGAAACCAAGTTGCCAAGGGAAAATAATTATCAGAATGCCAAACTACAAGAAGCAGAAATGTATAACTAAGATATTCAAGAAAAGAAAAGGCAACGGAGAGAACAGCAATGGGCTCTGGAAAAAAGCAGAGTAAAATACAGAGAACTCCGCACTGAGACACTATTAACTGTGTAGGCACTGTGTAATACACAATGCTTCAATATTAACCCAGGAAGAGACCTTACCTAAGCCCATCCAAAGGAGAAAAAAAGATGGAAACAGCATAGGGAGAATTTCATGCCAAGTAATGGCTGACACAAGCAAGGCTGTTTAAGTCCAGAATTGTCTTCCCATCGAAGTCGCCCTAGCTTTATCATTTGAGGAGACGTGTTTAAAAAGCAGGGTAAGAAGCAGACAAAATGGCCCACGATTTTATCCCAGCACTCGGTAAAGAGGCAGGCAGATCAGATCTTTTAGGCTCCAGGCCAGCATTATCTATATAGTGAGTTCCAGGACAGTCAGGGCTATGCAGAGACCCTGTCTAATAAAACCAGAAGGTTAAGAAAAAAAAAAAAAAATAGCAAGGTAGGCAGGAGCACATGGTCTTCTTTATACACACAGACCGAATAATACCTTCTTTTTTTTTTTTGGCTTTTAAGATTTGGGGATACCCGACCCCGCCACCTCACACACACTCATAACCTCAGCACTCTAAGGACAATGATCTGTGTAAGTCCGGGCCTCCCGAAGTTCAAGGCCTCACAGCACTCATTGGCAGCCCGGCCTATTTCGGCCTTGAGATGGGGGAGGGGGCCGCGCGGCGCCCCGCAGTCTGAGGCCCCGGCCGTTTCTCAGGCCCCCAGCAGGGGCAGGAGGGCCCCGCCCGGGTCAACGGGTTGAGATAGCGGCAGATCGGGAGGCCGGGCTGGGCACGGGTCCCGCGGCTGCCGCCCCCTCCCCGCCACTCAAGACGGCAAAGGGCGACGGCGGAATGAGGGTGTCCTCAGACCCCGGCGGAGCACAGGCGAGAACCAGAGGCCCGCGCGCTGCTATCTCATCGGGGACGCGGACGAGCGAGCAGGCGGCGGCGCGCGCCGTTGCCATGTGGGGGAGGGGCGAAGGAGTCGAGGGCCGCGCGCGACAGGGACCGCGGGAGGGGGAAGGGAGGGAGGTAGAAGAAGGCGTCCGCGCTGCCCGAGGCGACGAGCACGCGTGCGCGAGGCGGCCTGGGCCGTTCTCCGCGCGCTCTGGCCTCGAGCCGAGGCCGCCGCCCCTCCCCCACCCAGCTAGCGCGCTCCCTTTCTCTCACCCGCCGCCGCCGCCGCCGCCGGCCGCCGCCTCCGAAGGGGAGAGGTCCTGCCGCAGCTGCTGCTCAAGTCTTCCGATCCCTCGGGGCCTGAAGCCGCCGCCTCGCGGGTCCGCCCGCCTCAGCCGCCGCCGCCGCCGCCGCCTCGTCCGCTTCCTCAGGGGCCGCAGCGGGCTTCGACTGCGCCACTCGCACCCCGCCTGGACCGCGGTGCACGTCAGCACGACCGAGTGCGTCAGCACGCAATCACGAGAGGCGCTGGGCCCTCTGGGAGCCGTAGTGCGTTGTGCGCAGGCGTTGAAGGCACACGGGAGAGGTACAGGTTTCTTAGGCGCAAGGGACGTTCGATAGCGAAGTCGAAAGACCCCGAGCGCCGTCGGGCACTGCGGGGAAAGGCGAGGCACCGTACCGGAGAGGATACGTGTGCTGGAAATCCTCTGCAGGAAGGGGGAGGGGCGTGGGCCGCTACCCACAACGCTTCAGGCTCACGCCTTCCGCGCAGAGAGTTCTGGGAATTGTAGTTCAGTTGTAGAGCGAGCATCGTAGAGCACCTTCTCCGGGCAGTGTCGCCATTTTGTCTGCATGTGTCGTGTGGCAATGGCTCAGCAATTCTACCTCTTCCCTGTGACTGCGGGTTTCTTTAGCAGTTCTGAGGCCACACAACAGGAGGAGTTGCTCCAGAGTCAAGTCTCCTAGCACTCCTGGAATCACTTAAACCCGGCTCCGGCCCAGGTTCTGAAGCAAAAGCCAAACTTGTCTCCTGTGGTGTCCATAGTTTTCACCATCTTAGACAGAGCTGAAATGGGGCGGACAGGCCAATGAGAAATAGTTTCTCTTGCTTGGAGGGAGTGGAGCACACTTTTGGTTTGTTTGTTTTGTTTTTTGTTTTTCGAGGCAGGGTTTCTCTGTATTGCTGTGGGGCCTGTCCTAGAACTCGCTCTGTAGACCATGCTGGCCAAGAACTCACTGAGATCCTGGAACACACTTCTAGCACTCAGGAGGCAGAGGCAGACTGATCTGAGTTCAAGTCCCACCCACTCTACAGAACGAGCTTCAGGACAGCCGGGGCTACACAAAGAACAGGGTTGTCTCGAAAAGAAAAGTTCCCTTACCTTTGGGTAGACAGACTAGATAAGCGAATCTGTTCTATGTGTGAAGGAATGTGTCAGGAATAACTTTAAAATTGTAATTCTTCTGTACAGTGCAGTATTGGGAATTGGTCCCATGGTCTTCGTATGAGCCAGCAAGGGCTCTACCACCGAGCTGTACTCCCGGTCTATTTCCTATTTAATTTATGTATTAAAAATTATGTGTATACATGTTTGTCTGTTCAGGGAATGTGCACATTACTGCAGTTCCTGAGGGGGTCAGAGACATTGAGGGCTTGTGAGCCAGCTGAGGTGGGTGATGGAACTGAACTTAGTTCCTCTGCATGAACAGTACCAAGTCTTACTGAGCGATCTCTCCAGCGCACCCCCATTCATTTTTGAAAGTCCTTTTTTCTAGGGCTGATTAAAAGATGGTCTCCCAAGAAGCAGAGCTCTTGGAAGCTGGCCTTGTAACCTTTAAGCTAATGTCGGAAGGCCTTAGCAGATGTAGTGCCAAGTTGTCTGCAGTCTTGTTAATTGTTTCTTTCTAACAAAAAAAGGATATACCCAAATACTAGAATTGCAAGATTGTGAGATCCACCACATTTGAGCTCACAGTTCTCAGCTCTAGAATTGTGCTAACCGTTTCCTTGAAGTCCCCAGCACTAATAGACTTCCATAAATCGGGTACACCTTTGGAGTTAATGTGGCAAATGTATTTCAGGTTGAAAGTAAAAGGTGGTGGTTTCTTTAGAGATCATATCACTTCTATGGAGACCTTTCCTAGAAGCTAAATTCCTATCTATCTAAATTCCTCCTATTTTGTGCCAAATCTTATACTGAATACTGAATTGTGCATTAAATGTTTATGACAACCCCATAGGGGAAATGACAGTAAATTCATTGTCATATTCACAGTGCAGTCTTCAAAATCAAAGTAACATTGAAAGCTGGGCATGCATGCCTGTACTCCCAGGACTCAAGAAATTGAGAAAGGAAAATCCCTGTGAGTACAAGGCCAATCTGGAATATATGGCAAGACCTCTTTCAACAATAACAGCATGAAAGTAGGGCTAACAGGATCAGCTCAACTAGGGAAGGAACTCAGCCTAACATGTATGGTGGGAGAACAAAACTACTCCAGGTTGTCCTCTGACTTCCTCTTGTGTAGTGTGATGCCACCCCTAGCCCCCCAACACATGCACAAAATAAATAGAAGATGAATGTAACATACAAGCAATGCTATAATCTACAGACTTTATTGAGCATTGTTATTTGTTCTGATAGCATCTTTTATAACAACAAAAATATTCAAAAACATGCTTTGGTCCTGGGGGGAGGGGTGAGTATTCAAATGTGGCTGATAGCAGAGTCTTTAAAAGTTACAGCCTAAACATTTGTAGGTTCACTCTAGTAAACCCCACACTTAGGAGGTAGGGTGTGTGTGTATACCATGAGTTCAAAGCCAGGTTGGGCTACATAGTCAATTCCAGAGCAGCTTGGGCTACAGAATTAGATATTTTATTTTTTATTTGTTTGTTTTGTTTTCAAGACAGGGTTTCTCTGTGTAGCCCTGGTTACCCTGGAACTCACTCTGTAGACCAGGCTAGCCTCAAACTCACACAGATCCACCTGCCTCTGCCTCCCAAGTGCTGGGATTAAAGGTGTGGGCCTCCACCAAGCTGTATTTACATCTTGAAGAAAGCAGATCATCAAGTAAGCAAAAAACAAGTATTTATTAGTAATACAAGAGTCCTTTCAGTCCCCACTAGCAGAATATGAATGGGCCTGTTTGTCAATGGCCTCTCCAATAGAGGGAGTTGTGATACTTTTGGATTTTTGTTACTATGCTAAATAATAAAAGGTATTTTAATGTAGGTTCTTCATAGTAATATATACAGAAAAGAGGATTTATCGTCTTAATTATATAGTCCGGTGGTATTAAATATATTCACAATGCAGCCATCGCCACACCCATTTCCAAAAAGTAGTTCCACAGCTGGAGAGATTGTTCAGCAGTTAAGAGCATTTGCTGTTCCTCCAGAGCACTGGGGTGCATGAACACACACACACACACACACACAAGTGATAGAAATCTTAAGAGTAGGGGCTGAAGAGTTGGCTCAGCTGTTAAGAGCACTGGCTGCTCTTCCAGAGGACCCAGGTTCAATTCCCAGCACCCACATGGGAGCTCACAACTGTCACTCCAGTTCCAGGGATCCAACACCTTAAGAGTAGATGTGTTTGTTGAACACTTTTAGTCCCAGTTTTCTGAAGACAGACAGACAGATCTGTGAATTCAAGGCCAGCCTGATCTAAAAAGACTGTTTTAGACCAACCAAAAACAAAAATCTTAATAAGAAAAAAAATAACTCCGGGACCAGCAATATATTGTTCAACAGGTAAAGGTGCCTATTATTAATCATGACCATGTGAGTTCACTCTCCAGGACTCACACAGCAGCAATAAATAAATAAATAAAGATAAAAAATAAAAAAATAACCAAGACACACTGCCCCCCACCCTACCCTCAGAACTTCTAGCTACAATCACTCATGAATTTGCTTTCCCTGCGTGCCTCAGATGAACAGAACCATGCAAACTTGTGCCTGGCTTATTTCAGTTAGCGTGATTTTTTTGTTGTTTGTTTTTTGTTTTTGTTTTTGTTTTTGTTCTTTGTTTGTTTTTTCAAGACGGGTATTTCTGTATTTCTTTGGAGCCTATCCTGGAACTAGCACTGTAGACCAGGATGGCCTTGAACTCAACAGAGAGCCACCTGCCTCTGCCTCCCAAATGTTGGGATTAAAGGCATGTGCCAGCAACACCTGGCTCAGAATTTTACTTTTAATGACTAAATAAAAGGAGAAAAACATAATGTCATTAAAGAGTATTTGTATTGCTTCTGCCTTCTAGCTGTAGTGAATGATACCGCAATAACCATTTAAATGCAAATTCTTATTTTATTTTTTGATCCACATTCTCACTGTGTAACCCTGGCTGTTCTTGAACTCACTCCGTAGAACCACCTACCTCTGTCCCCCCAGTGCTGGGATTACAGGTGTGTACCACTCTACATGTAAGCTTTTGTTTTTAGGAAGTGATTTTTAGACAGGGTCTTAATATCTAGTTCAGGCTTGCCTTAAAAAACTCACAGCACTTCCCTGGGGAGCAGAAGAGGGATGGGATGGGGGGGATTGGTGGGGAACATGGGAGGATGGGAGGGAGAGGGAACTGGGATTGATATGTAAAATAAGATTGTTTCTAAACTTAAATAAACACACACACACACACACACACCAGTCCTCCTGCCTCACTCAGTCTCCTCAAGTTCTGGTAGAGAATTGTTGGCTCCATGATAATTGTTATTTATTGGGGTGGTAGGTTTGAGACAGGGTTTTTCTGTATAACTCTAGCTTTCCTAGGATTTGCTTTTGTAGACCAGGTTGGCATCAAACTCACAGAGATTGACCTGCCTCTGCCTCCTGAGTGTTGGGATTAAAGGCCGGCGCCACCACTACCTGGCTACTTTTGTGTTTTTTATAGTGGCTATTTCAGTAGGTATAAATGGTAGAATTCTCCCTGTCTCCCTCTCCTCTTCTCAGGCTGAGCCTCAAATCCAGGGCCATGTATATATCAGGCACTTGAGTGCTCTCCTCCTGAACCACCTCCCCAGCCTGAGATCTACTATGTTTTGTTTTGATTTTAAGATACATTTATGTTTTTCCTACTGTATGTCAGTGTTCCATGTATGTGCCTGGTGCCCTTGGAGGCCAGAAGAAGGCTTTGGATCCTAATGTCTAGGAACCAAATGTGGATGACTGGGGAAACCTGGGCCTCTCTGGGAGAACAGCAAGTATTCTAAACTGCTGAGCCATCTCTTCAGTCCCTACCATAATAGTTTTGATTGGCAGTTCCCAATAACTAATGAAATGAAAAATGCTACAAGTCCTTTGTCCTCTATTGTGGAAGGTGTGCCAGAGACTGAACCTAGGACCTTGTGCATACATGTGTTGTACTATTGAACAATGTCCCACAACCTCTGTGTCATCTTTCTTTTTT